CACTGAATTCTCTACATAGCAAGACATTAATTCTATGGAAGATATAGCTATATATTAATCTGAAAGGGCTAATTATATGCAAAATTTTCCAAATGGAATGGCATCCAAATATGCTATATAACATAGAAGAAAAAAGGGCAAATCTATGCTAATCTAATTAAAGACTAAAAGATAAACAATCTATCACCTGCGAGTTCATGACATAAACATCTGCTGCTGAATATAGTGAAGCTATACGTGTAGTTGCTGGAGTCCAGAGAACAGACTGTGACAATTTTGCATGCTCAGACAAAAATCTTAGAATTTCTTTAACAAAAGGTATCTTATTGCTCTTAGATCCAACAGAACCAATAAGTATTTTAAGAGTTTGCTCCTTTGTTCCTTGGCTATCAGACCAAATCTTCCTTCTTCTGTGACTTCTATCAATACTGACAACATTTGTGCTATTTACAGAGGTTAATAACGGCAAATCTTTAGAAGATAGATCAACATTGCTTGACTTTTGAAGCGAGCCTCTTAAATGATGCTTTACAGCCAAGGTAGACTGATCTTGCCTGATATCATGTGAGTTTTTAACTTCAGAATCAATTTGCAAAGGGTCTTGATCAATCATGAGGCCTGCTGATTCAAGAAGCAAGAGCTAGCCCTTTCCAGCATTTATGCTACTTGGAGACATTACAAGCATATTGTTATATGTCAAACCCATCTCTTTTCTTACTGCATCTCGCAACAACTGCCTTTTCTCTAGCATCTTTTCTGGGCTAGCGGATGGAGTATTCAAAGAGCAAGGAATGCCAGCTACAAAAGCCAGCTCATCATTAACAGCAAGTGGAACAAGAGCAGGCTGAGATCCCAACTTAATATTTTCTTCCTGACACCAGGTAAGCCACTGTTTACTCTGTAATTCAGAAAAGCAAATAAGCATTTTCACTCGGTGTAGAACAAGCTTTGTCCGATCAAAGTATTCTCTTCTATTTTCCAAGATCCACCAAGCAATTTGACTCCCCCAGCTGGGCAATGAACAATATATTGATCTGAAACCAAACAATTGCATCTAATACTACATGGCAGTCAAATATAAGCAGAACATATGACTCAAAACTCGAGGGAACTAGAATGATTATGCTTTAGTGGAAATGACACTGAAAGAGAATGACAAAAGGCAGACCAACCAACGAAAAAGAAAGTTTTCTAGTAAGGATTTTCGAGCAAAACTAGAATCAGTACACACACATACAAACCTACAAAATGATTCAAAAGCTTTTCACATGGTTTTCAAGAGAGAAAAACAGGGAGTTAAGGGAACCAACGTCCAATATAGATGAAGAATTTTTTACAATGACCTCAAAAGCTCAAACCAAATGCCTACTGCTATTCCACATACAGGTGAACAAAATGTGATAACAATAACCGGGATTCAGGAAAATGCATGTGACTGGTATGCATGTGTGTGCGTGAAGCCGCAAAAAATAATTCTGCTTTCGTAATAGGACCGGTGAATCTGCTACTTTGTTAGAGAAAGCTTTGTGCATTTTGACTCAACACAGTGTCTACTATCCAGTCACTATCATCAAATTCGAAAAATCCATGAAAGATTAGAGTCCATCAACTTAAGCAGTAAGGCAGTTGTAAATTATTAAAGCCATATAATTTAAATAGAGAAACATGTTGGATCATCTTAATTAAAAGGCATGTACATAGTTTACTATATCAATAAGTAATTTTCTAGAAATTAAAAGATGATAGCCTTCCAATCCACAATGATGATAATTTCGAGGAAGGTCAGTTGATGCTTGAAGGAGGTGCAGGAAGATGCCATTTTTACTCGATAAAAATCACGCAGTATTGCAAATGATTGAATTGATTATGTTATCATAAACAAATTTAGTATAAAAATGGGTCAATAATCTTAATGGAAACATTATTATATACAAGATAAGGCATGATGTCAAATTTCAATTTGAATGAGAAGTGAAAACATATATAACTTAGTAGCATAAGTTTAAAAATCTATGCAGCTAAAAGGAAAAATGCTGCAGCCTTGCAGTAGATAATAGCTGATCTTCATATCTGCATAAGCAATAAATTTCAATTTCAAAGAAAAATATAAACAATATTCCAAAAGTTTCTCACCAATCCATGATGCACAGACTGCTGATCCTGCCATCACAAGGTATGCCTTCATGGCAGTTTTGAAGCTAAGATCTGCTCTATCATCAATCACTTTGATCCTTCTCCTTTCAAGCTCGGACATAAGTCCTCCCTTCTTGCTGAGAACTGCAGCAGATACTGTGGCTCCACAGCTCAAAAGCTCTGTTGCCAACTCCACATTGAAATCGGTGCCCCAGTCATTGAGAGTTCATGAAATACCAACACTAATCTTCTAGACCAAACAAGGGGTGCAAAGTCCTCTTTCCTATCACTTGTTCCAGACCGCTTTTCAGGACTCCACTCCAAAACTCTGTCCTCCACTGACCCAAATGGACCAACAAGCAAGCCGTTAGTAGAATTTTTCTACATTATTAACCCTTCTTTCCCCTTTGTGTCACCATTTTCAATGTTCATTGTTGCCTTTGGTTTACCATGCGTCTTGTGCGTACTACGCCTCGCTCTTTTACTCCTTTTCTTCCTAGATGAAAGATCATTCCCCTTCTTGGCCAAAATCACATCAAATTTTCTATCACTATAGACCCGAGTTTTATTAGTTCCATTATTCATGGCTATCAAACTGTCATCAGCAAGCAAATCTCGTCGAGTGTTCTGTTCAACATCCACGAGCCTATTTCTTGGATCACCACTGAAACCCAAAAATTCCTCTTTTTTATGACCATGAGCCCACCTGGATTGGACTTAAAATCCAAGGTAAGCCCAAAGAGTAATCAAAAGTATCCAACACATTAAGCGGTTGCTCTCAAACCACTTCTTGCCACCAGCACCACTTCTTGCTTCTCTTCTTGGAGTTCGGCTTGAATTCAGTCTCCGAAATGTAGAACTCTTTGGAGTTGACCTTCCAGACAGACTGGACTTAAAGCTACCTTGCCTCAATGACGATGGTTGCTTGCCGACACTTTGCTCCATTTTCTTCTAGCTATAGTATATTGCTCAAAAGCTAAAATAACATTCTTCGTATGTTAGCCAATACCGAAAACAAACAGCGCTGAAAGGTCTATGTCTGTTCTTCTAGCTCCAAAATGCTTACAAGCACCTTCTACAGCTTTCTATACTACAAACCTACATCAATGAAGAATATACATGTTTAATATTCTTTGCACAATAGCATTAATATAAAATGTATGAAAAGTAAACAATATGGCTGGCATAAAAGCAGGCAAGGAAAAGATTAAATAGACAAATTCGTACAAGTTACTAAGTCTTGCATTAAAAAATTATCAATTTTTACTTTAAAAAAACAAATAATGTAACCAATAAAGAACAGCCTAGACTTATTTGAGCAAATTACAGTTGGCGGAGATGATGTTGTATATTTCAGACTACCAGAAGATTGAAACTTCAGATCTCAATTTCCTGTTGTTTCATGCATTTATCAGAAACTAAACAATTAAACTGATAAAAGACCCAAGTTAGAATTTTCAAAAGTATCCTCAGGTTGGAAAGGCACCTCAACTTTACCAACTACCACCTTAAAACTAAATTCTTTCAACGGTCATAGGTTTACAACTCAAAAGATATCTTTGGGTATACTTTTTTAGAAATCAATAAAAATTTATAATAACCAAGAACTAAATCGAAGGATCAAGAAACTGATCAACCAGCAGTTCACATTCTTCGAAGTTCATGAAATACTAAAACATCAAAAATGAAATAAAAAAGATAAATCTGTTTCCTATCAAACAAAGCCTTATGCCTAGACAAAAACTACTTTCAACTTTCTATTTGCACTCATTCCGTAACACTTTCTTAGCAATCAGTCATAATACCGAAAAGTAAAGCCACAACAATCCATAAATCTTAACAAGTCGAGATCTTTTCTTCTTTTTTTTTTCCTTTTTCTTTTCATATACTTTCTCAGAAACCAAATAGTTCTCAGAAAAAAACCTCAAAACCAAAAAAAAAAAAAAATCGTCAAATTTCATTAAATTTCACATTTTCTTTTCTTGCATTTTCTCGACAACCAAACGCATCTTTATGCTTGTAACTAACTTAACACTCGAACACCAAAGCAAGAAAAAAAATTAAGAAACCAACTAATCAATCTTTTAACAGTTACATGAGCTTAAGCGCAGTTAAAAAAAAAAAAAAAAAGCACTCAAACTTAAGATCACAAGATATTTAAGAAAATCTCTTAAAAATAAACGTAAAACAAAAAATTATAATTAAAATAAAAGCAACTAGTTTAGCTTACACTAAAAGATTCGAAGAAATGAAGAAACTATTCTTTAATTTTTTTCTCTGTTTTGATCTCTGTTATTGATTGATCTGAGCGAGCTTACATTAAAAGAAAAAAAAGTTACAAGGGAAGAACTAGAGATGGAAACAAAAGAGTAAAAAAAAATGGTTGCACTGGGAGAAATGTCTGAAACATGAAACGGATCACAAGTGCTAAACGTTCGTTTGAACAAAAAGTTTTTGAAGATTGGCGGGGGATGTTTTAATGTAAGGTTGTGTAGGATAAACTTGGTATGCTCCGTTGTTTCGTGGATAGCCTGATTACACGGGCGGATGTTTTTTTATGTAAATTAAATGGTGGGAAGTTATGATGGGCAATTATTAGAAGGCGTGGAAATGATGGGTTTTCCTTTATTCTTGTGTTTGCATACATTATTATGAGCCGTCGGTGGATTAATTAGACCGTTATGGCCGTTCGATTAAGTTTTTAGATGGTTGAAGTTAGTTTAATTAATGAAGCTTAACCTAAAAAGATTTAAAACGGTGCACGAAAACGAAAAAAATACCATAATGTCATGATTAAAATTTTAACAATTTATATAAATTTAATAAAATAAAAAATACATTTCATAATTTTCGTATCATATCAAATAAAACGTAATTTTTATATAAAATATAATATAAATCGTTTAAAGTTTATTATCCGACCCAAATACACTGTAATAGACGCAAATGAACTTTACGTGGCAACAGTAAAAAAAAGTATAATTACATTCAACAGACAAAGCAGGAATGAGCTTTGAACATGAAGCATCAAAACCACTGATCACCAAATGCACTTGATTAAATTAAAGAAACCACTTGACAAAAGCAGAATCCGACCGTGCGATATCTCAATAACCAGCCTGCTTCAAATAAAAATAAGAAGAAAAAAAATCTCAAGCATTACTAATGTACCATCAAAACCAAGCAAGTATGCTCAACAAAGAGAAATAACAACACCATCTATGCAAATAAAAAATATTAATAATAAGCTCGCCAAGCAAACAGCTGCCTGCACAATAATTCTTGTTCATACACTTATGGAGAAGCCTGCCTAAATTTCTCACAAGCTTCGTTAAAAAGTCAAACCACAAGAAAAACCTGTAAGAAACAAGAATAGTAGTCATAGCAATTTTTGCAGTGTGTAGCTGAGATAACAAGAAGATTATTTTCTCTGATATATGTTCATACCCGCACATTTAAACAAGGGAATGCCACCCATCAAGTCACAATAATATTCTTAAACTGAATGTTGCATGAGCAGGTGTTTGTCATATATAACTGCCAAAAAAAGGAAAAAATGCAAGGGAGAGAAATTTAGTTTAGAATGACCCAACAAGGACAGCTCCAATTAATGGGAGAAGAAAAAAGGAAGCACTGCAGATGATATACTGATTTTGAACTCCTTTAAGCACAAATGCCAAGAAAAAACTTCCAAATTGCCTAAAAGCAACGGGACCATGTTAAATTAAACACCAGTCTCTAAAATCTCACCAACATTAAACTACATAGATTGTTAAATTATGTCCTTATTGCTTAAGACCTTAACCTTTTCACATGTGGCAGCAGGTACAAAAGAAATGTCCAATCACTCATTGAGGTGGAGAGGAGGGAGGGGACTCACAGACACATAAACTACACTGTTATGCTTTGTGTTTTTTGGACATGAAACAATTAGCTGAGAAACTTATAACTTTCTTCTAAAAATAAAGAAAATTTTAAATACCAAACAGATTAAGCTCGCATTAACTAGGGATGAAGTGTGATTTACCTACAATATCCAGGAACAATTTGAAGCCCAAAGTGGTCCAGGTCAAAAGCTGGAGGTCACAAAGGGCCTGAAAGAAAGGCCTGCAACACCCAGTAATTCACAAATAAAAAATTCTAAACACCCACAAAAAAATAATAACTTTCTTTACGAAAGTTTAACCTTCTTCAGTTTATTGGGACAGGCTGTCTTAAATAAGTAAATCACTTGCTAAAGCTCATCTCAGAATATCTGCATGGAAATGAAGGATAAAACAAATCAAGAAGTTTACATATAGAAGATGATAGAAACAGAGTGAGAAAGGTTTTCCACCATCCATAGAAACAGCTTAAAAGTTTCAACTTGCCTGCGAGGCTGCTTATTTGGGTTATTTTGCTGTTGCCCAAATTCATCACTCACAAGCTCTGCATAGGAGACAACTTGTTTAACTATTAAAACATTAAAAAAGGCAATGGGTTATTTCAAAAGCCAACCAAATACAAGATCAAGCCAAGATCATTGCTTACCAAGTCTTTGCAAAGGCTTCCATTCATTATTTTGTTTGTTAGAAGTATTTTCTTTGCTGCAAAGAGTGATTAAATATTATTAAAACAATCAGCTAGCAACAATAATAACCACTTGTTTTAACTTGTAAACAGAAGAAAAAATAACCAGTTACACTGTCCATCATCTGAGATTCCATTCTTTTTTGGTCTCTCTCTCTCTCTCAAACACACACACACACCAACACACACTATGTTTTATATTGGGTGCAAAACTTTGATCATCATACAGTCTACTCATAAAAATGTTGCAATATGAAGGGAAGACATCAGTAGGCCGTTATAGAGATATAATCACATGAATATCACAGCAATAAAGAATGTTTTAAAACATCTTCCAACAATTATTTTCTGTTCTAAAGTTAATCTATGTAAAAGCCAATAGTTCTATGTAAAATCATGACACTATCATCCTCCAAAATACCTGGCATTTCACACTAAATAAATTGATTGAAAAGCCAATGATACAGCTGAGTTGAAAAAACACAACCATAAATAGAACTAAAACACATTAAACTCAACTTAATCGTGACTTAATCCTGATTAAAGGGGCTTTTTGCAAAGACATTCCAACCAGATGTTAACCTTCAATAATGACAACAAAAAGGCAATGTTCAATGCTTCCAGTTTCCAGGACTAATGAGAACAGTTAATATTCCCCCTCCCCCCCGCTTTGGCAAGCAGAAGGAAAACAATAACAATAGGCTATTTAAAGCAAGCAGGTTAAGGAAACCAAAACCACGCTACTAACCTTGAGGATACTGTTGAGGATGCCTGCCCTGACGGACAAGTATGATAAGCTCCATCAACAGTAATATAAGGTGGACAATATGGTGCACCTAAAGCCCCAGCAGTACCTGTCAGTACTGGTAGCCTAAACATGAACACGAAAATCCTTAATGCTTTTGGATTACATAGATAAATAAATCAGAATAACATGAATAAGAATAAGCAATCAAGAGAGAGATTTAGTGCTGCATTGGTAGTCAATAAACGTCCACAATCAAAATGGCTCCCACCTTACCCTTTCACTAGTGTCAAAATCTGTAGCAAATTGGAGATTAGCCACAAAAAGGCTTATCTGAAAAATATCGGGAGTTTGAAAAGCTGATTCATAACTCATAAGTTATAGGTACTACCTTAAAAGTTTAAAAAAAGAAAGTCAATTGGATTTTCTGTAAGGACCAAGAATCACTTATTTCTGATGGAAACCAGATGTAGTCCACACCATAAAAAAAAATTCTCTTTCAGGGAAAAAGAAATATTACCATTCATTCTGAATTTCCCAACCAAGTTGCCGTGGATTTTTATATAGCAGGAAATTGTATTGCCATAGCGATACATAAGCACCAAGCTGACCTCAAATTTGCATTGCTGTATCATTCAGAAAAGAAAAATTATGAAAAATGAGCAAAAAGTGTTTAACACAAGGAAAATAGCTGTCCAAGAAGAAAATAAGAATAATTGACTGAATCTAAAGCAATCTCAGTAAGATAAAACTTTCCTAAAACCATAGTATCAATGGCAAAGCAAATAACTCGAACTCCACCTCTAGAACCAGAAAAAGGCGTACCTATTCAAAACAAACCACTTTGTAGGAATTAAATTTCCATCTAAACTTAGCCAAAAGACCATTAAAGATATTTAAAAGAAAACAAAATTTAGTATTTATTAAAGCACTTAATTTAATCCATACGAAATTCAAAAAAAGAAAATGTGGCCCAGGATTTAGTATGCACTGTTGCAGGTAAGACAATTTTCCCCATTTCCCATTTATCCTTTTATGGTAGATTACATTATCCAGATAAATTAAAGAATTAAAAATATCAAAAGCTTTACATGGCAAAAAGGCAGGAAAGTTTTGATCACCGTGGCCGATAGCCATACTCCCTGTAGCTCCAATAATCTGAGCTCCACCGTACAGAAAAGAGCCCCTTCCACCCCCTTGAACACTACTTTTTCCCTTGCTCACCAATGCACTCTTGGATTTACTTGTTTCTGAAGATTCAGCCTCTCCAGATTCATATGAATGGACTGACATAGCTGTTTTTGGCGGAGATGAAGCTTGAGACCCAATACCAGGATGCTCATCAAACTGCTGAGCAGTTGCCTGTAGAGAAGATTGACCCCTGCCTTGAACAGGATTTCTCTGAACAGCATTGACCTGAGTTGGTGGAGATACTTTGTGGGCTTGGTTCTGATGTGGACCTGGCTGATACGCCTTCTGTCCTGGGATAGCTACGCCTCTACCCTGTACCCTGGACTGAGACGGTTGACTAGTCTTACCCAATGAAGATCCAGAAGGTAGAATTTGCATGTTGCCCAAAGGCTTCCCAGAAGCTGGCGTGCTGGAATCATCCATATAAAGCTTTGCCATGCTGAGAGAATCAAGTACATTCTTCCCTCGTAAAGAATTGGATTGTGGCAAAGAAAAATTCTCATCTGTAACAGAAGGGCGAAGATTCCTGCCCACAGTTCCAGCTTGCACATCCTTCTTCTGAGTCAAGGTAATATCTTTGTTGGAAGACCCTGATGGATAAAAAGGTGGAGAAGCAGAACTCAAGCTTGATGCAAAAACATGTTTCCTAGCAGGAACAGATGCAGCATCAGCATTTGTTGCAGGTGTGAAAACCCTACTTGAATTGGCTTGTGAAGTTCTTTCAAGAGGCTTCCCAGACCTGAAATATTTAACTCATTCAATGTCGTGCAAATTTAATAATGGTAGGAAGAGAAAGAAAATTGAAGAAAACAAATGCATTTTAATACTCACGGTTTGTTCTGTGTTGGTGCTGGAGCCTGACTGCTGTTTTTCATAGTAGGTTCATACCTCCTAGGTCCTCTCCCTCTCACAACCTTAGGAGCCTGGTTCTGATTGTTGTTTTTCCCAAATGCTTTGGACCTACTTCCCCTACGATAACCATGATCTGGACCTCGATTTTTACTCCGAGCTCGATTTCTACCTCTAGAAGATCTTCTTCCCTAATGTGGAAGAAAAAACATATCAGTAGGGAAAAAGAAAAGGATGTAATGACATTAAGAAAGAAAATAAAACACTAATCATGAGAGTTGAATATGTATAAAACCCTTACCTCTTCATAATGCTTTTCTTGCAAAGTCATCTCCTCAAACTTGTCATGTCCCCATTTCCTATCATCTTTGGATTCCCACAATTTCCTTCCACCATGTGTTCTTCTAAAACAGACAAATCAGGTTGATACACAGCTTAAAAGCGTTTGTAATAACTTTAATGAAAATGGAAGGCAAGGACACAGCAAAGCAAACCTAAGAGAGTAAAGGAAAACCAAAATATAGCAGTGAGAATTGAAGCCATAAAAAGCCTAAATCAGGACCAGAAATTAGGCCTTGATAGCATAAGAGTCATCAGGTAATTAGTTCAACTGCCTTATTAATGGGGTCAACAGTTAAATATAAACCTAATCTTTGCAAAATATGCAAACAGATTATAGATACAGTTAGACTTCACACACACACACACACACACACATTAATGATGAATGAATTAGAAAATATGAATATAAATAAAGATTTGAACCATAAAAAGCTTATTGTTATTAAAATTTCATATAGTTGCCATAGTATTGATAGTATAGATAAAAAAGTATTTTTAGAATTAAAAGTTACTTCCTTTCACATAAGCAAAGTCAAGGAAAAGTAGCTGCAAGCACTTATAAAGTCTTCGAATACACGGTTCCAATCTGGGCCTATATTTTGACCATATTAGGTCCCATTTGGTCTTATATTGGGCCACTCAGTGTTTAAAAACAACGGTCCTGATCAACTAGCTCATGCCTGGATCAAACCAGGTAGCTTTTAAGCTCTTAAAATGAATGAACAATGACAACCAGGAAAAAAAAAAAAAAGAAAACACCAAATAACAAGAGCCTGGTATGTAGGTCTATTTGTGTAACAGTATTCTAAAGTAGATTATGACATTTCAAGTCCTCACACCAAATAAAGTACAAGAGCCAGGTATGTATGTCTTCTTGTCTGGAAGACCAAGTAACTAAAGCTCTCAAGCACCTTACAACCTTACATTTCCTTGAACCCCACTAATCATGGACGATTCAAGGTTCAAGATAAAAGAACATAAAAAAGCTGCACATAGAGCATGAACATCATAGGTGCAGAAAAACTAAAATTAAGCACTTTTGTTGTCTAAATGTAACATTGCTTAAAAGTATAAAAAGTCAATTGCTATTAATTTCTATAGTGTGCATAGGGAAGTAGGGCAAGTGAGCATTCCGGTTTCAATCAATATACAAAATAGATAAAATAGGCATAACAAAGAACCTTATAAAGGCGTGCCATACACTATTCTACAAATTGTCAATTAATTTCTTAAATAGTTAAAAATATTAGCAACTAACATAGCGATTTAAACCCAAAAATGCAAAGAAAACAAAAAAAAAACAAAATTGAATACCTATGACGTCCGCCAACATTGTCTCGAAATCTATCATCGTGCATATAAAACGCTCCAGCAGTTGGAACAGCATATGGCTCATTCTCCTTTTCCTCATCATCTTCCTCTCCCACATGATTATTATTATTAATCTCCAATCCCTCATCCACATTCCCATTCCCATCATCCACCCGTGCTTCCTTCATATCTTCTCTAGTTCTCTCCACATTCCCTTCCGCTAGTCCTTTCCCTAGTTCCTCTATCTCCTCTTCATCAATTTCTTCTTCCTCTTCCTCCTCTTCATCATAAACTTCATCTTCTTCTAGGTCCAATTCTTCTTCGTCGTCATCATAGTCAGCAGCACCGCCCTCACCGACGGATTCATCGGAATGAATAACAGCTCTCCGATCCATCCTCGCCTCAGTATTATTATCCTCTTCCCTTTCGCCTTCCTCATCGTCACTCGCCGCCTCTCTCCTCCGCATCGCCAACGAACGCTTCACCTCCACCGGATCACTGTCGTACTCCACCTCTTCTTCTCCCGCCGTAGCCATCACTTTCTCGCGAACCAAACACCAACTCGCTCAAACTTCAAAATTTATTCAAAAAAGAAGAAGAGCAAACTTTGTAACGAAGCAAAAGACCAAATTCAAAACCAATCGCCTAAAAAAGGAAGAGAATCAAAACCCTAGGAGCCTTGAAACTGAAGGGAAAAATTAGGGTTATTTATTTGTTTCTTTCAAGAATAGGATCTAGGGGTAGCGTTATTCGAGAAAACCCTAGATTTTTATAGAGAGAATTTTATTAGGGGTGGGGGGATTTTTGGGTAAAATTCAATGGATAGAGAAGACAGGACCTTGCTTTGTTGTGAAAGTTCTTTAATTTTTTTTCTAGTTTTTGGGGTTTGGGGGTTACATGGAAAGAATAGGGACATTTTAGGAAATTTAAAAGGTGTAAGATCGTAAGATCGGCATAGGATGGTGTTTGCCTGTTTGGAGTTGGATTCTGTTACGGACATGAGATCGCACGAGGTCTTTGCCTTCGGTTGGGAGTGAATCTTAAAAGAAGTTTCATGATAGAGAACCAATGGGATTGTGCCACGTTTTCATTCGCAATTCAGGTAATCATCTTCTCCACTGTTTTTGAGTTTGCATTTTTCTCGACGTCACAAAATATATCCAACTAAATATGTCAGTAGGAAAATTTTTATATTTTAATAAAATATTAAGAATTTTTTTTCTATAAACTATCACCAAATATTTTAAATTTTTATGAGTGACTAAAATATTGCTATATGTTTTTATTTTTTTAATTAATTTTTTTAATTTTTAAATATATTTTAAAAAATATATCATCTTATTAATTTTAAAAGTTTAAAAATTTCATTAAAATAATTTTTAGATATTAACAATAATCGTGATACTTAACATTTTGCTTCCTGAACTTGAGGAACTTACCTAAGTGCAAAAACAAAGTTCCATAAAAAAAAAAAAAAAAAAAGTTGAAAAACATGATTTCACAATTTTCTTTGTAGAACCCTAGGGTTTATGAATAAAAAATCATTTTTTGTGTTATTGTCTTAGCCTTCCAAAAAGTTCAATCAACAATATTTTTTCCTCTCTCCAGCAATCTGTACATAAACAAAAATGTCATTTTATTTTTATATAAACATGAGCAAGCAGATACGGGTGATGAGTAAGGAGAGGTAATCATAATCTAATAAACATGCTAAATCTTTTTTTTCAAAAAAATCTTAAAATCTTTTATTTTTTAATATTCAAATTTAAAACCTTTAAATGAATAATTTAAGTTATAATAATCGTTGAAATGGTTTCTTCAAAGGGACTATATGTATATGAAACTTCGCTAATTAAGTGGATTTTATTTACTAAAAAAAATATTTGTTTCATTTTCCATAAAAATTTATGTTAAATTATTGTCTTTTGCCTTAGCTAGATTGATGCAAACGATTTTTTTTTGGGTTGCAAGGTCTAGAATTTTTGTAGAGCAAGCGATTTTTTAATCTTTATACACTTAAAAATATTTTTAAAAAATGAATATAAAAAAAAAAAACCAAATATATCTATGAAATTAAAAAAAAAAAATTGTATCACTTGCCGTTATTATATTACAATTAATAAACAACAACGCTAAATTATGTAAAACTTATCAAAATATTACCTAAAATGCTCCTCAGACTAAGCCCTATATTTTGTTTTTAAACTTAGATCACCCCCATCCCATCCAAATATATATTTCAATGTATATGACTGAATTTTATTGTACAACTTTCAATTAGGCTCTATAGCAAACGGAAAATTGAACCCATAATAGATATTTAAAGTTTAATTTGTGCAATAACTCTGAAAAGGCATAAGCAAAGGATGAGGCAATCATGGTGTTTTTATTAATTATGTTGGGTCAGTCCCCAGTACCCAATTATATTATTTTCCTTAATTGCTCATCTTGCACGTGAATTCTTTTTTAATCTTCCACACCTAACACTCACATTCCCTTTCCATTGTAGGACCACTGACTAAAATATTTATGAGTTTTCAGTTGCAAGTGATCTTATATTGATTATTAATTAATTAATTAGAAGGTTTCTACACATTATAGAATGTCTCTAAAGTAACATTACAATAATTAAAACTTAAAGTTATCGGAACCAAAAAAAAAAAAAAAAAAACACTTAAATATTATATCTTAGAAATCATGAAATGCAAATCCTATCATGATAGGATGAAATTTAAGGAGTGAAAGAAAATTAATGAATTCCTTTAAATTTAGTACCAATGGCGGTTCATGCTCAAGATATATTTTTGTTTTTTAAATCATATTTTACGAAAAATAAAAATAAATATAGTATTAACTTAGTCAAAACCATGTTCATGGAACAGTATACTAACATTAATCCAAGTGTCGCGTCCTTAAGTCTCCCCTTGGTAAAAGAAGTTTTAGTCTTGCTTTCTACAAGGTTTTTCTCCTACTTGTGTTTAGATAAGTATTAGTAAAACAAAAAAAAAAAAAAGAAATGAAAGAAAAGGTTTTTAAAGGAAAAAAAAGATATATGTACTCTTTGTTTAGATAACTAAAATTAATAAAAAAAAAATCATAACAATCATTGTTTGGTTAAATAACGAAAAAAAAAAGAAAATAATTTATTATATTATTTTTTTTCAATTATAACTTTTAATAATCTTTGTTTTTATTATAATATTTATATGTTTATATTAATGTATTCAATGTTTTCAATTTTCCTTTATTTTTTCATAAAAATAATCATAAATGAAATTTAAGAAATTCATAAAAAAAAAAAAAATAAAGACAATAAATTTATTGGTAAATTATGTTTTATATTCTCAATCTAGTTTTAAAGTTCAAAATCATACATTTTTAATTTAAAGAAATTAATAAAGATATAATAGTCATTTTATATCTTAAAAATTTTATTCTTTTTCTTTCCCTTTCTTTTCCACCGATTTGGAGTAATTAAAAAATAAAGAAAGTTGAGGGAAACCAAAAAGATTTAAGCATACCTTCCTTTCCTTTATTTTTATTTATGTCATATTGAAACAAGGAAAAAGATTATCCATTTCCTTTTGTTTCCTTTCCATTTCTTTCCTTTCTCTCCCCTTACCTCAATCCAATCATGCTATTAGGGATTTGTTTTCTCAGTGTTGGTTTGAGGGTTATCTAGTTACCTAGTAGTATTTTTTTAAAAGACCTGCAGTAGAGAGGCTTCGGAGTTCTTCCAGTAGAAGTAATTTAAATGGTAGAAGACCTTGACGGTTTCTGGAAGTCTTTGACTTTCACTGAAGAAGAATTGCACAGAATTCAGCTAAGGGATGAGAATTCGGAGACTGGGAATATTGATGAAAGGCGATAAAAGGTAGGGGAATTGCTTACTAGAAGACCCTTCAATAAGGAGGCAATGGTGAACCCTCTGAAGGTAGCATGGAGGATCGCACAGTAGGTTGTTGTTATAGAATTGGAAAACAATCGCTTTCTATTTAAGTTTTCAACTGAGGCAGACAGGAAGAGGGTTACAGAAAAGCCCCGTTGTCTTTTGATAAAAATCTAGTAGTGATGGAGGACTATAAGGCGTGCTTCAGGCCTGGTGATTACAGCCTCAACCAATCGGCATTCTAGATTAGAGTATATGGATTGCCATTGGGGATGAGATCTCAAGATGTTGGTAAACGAGTAGGAAGTAAAATAGGGGAATTAATCAAGGTGGATGCGAGTTTAGATGAAGGAGGTTGGTCCCATTTTCTAAGAATCCGTGTAAGTATAGATGTAACAAAGTCACTCGGAAGGGCTGTTATGATCAGGGGGAATGAAGGCAAGGATTTTTTGGGCGTTTGGGATATGAAAATCTACCAAAATTTTGTTACAAATGCGGAGTACTAGGGCATACCGAGTCTGAGTGCGTAAACAACACTAGCCAAAACCATTAATGGAAAATCTATTTTTGAATATGGGGACTGGTTGCGGGCATCTCCACTAAAGAGGAGAAACATGATCAGAGGGAAGATGAACCAGGCCTCGACCTACTGGAAAGGTGTAGTGGATGAGAGGAAGGATGAGGTGAGTAAGGACGGCAAGCACACATGGAAATCTGTGGCCAGAACCATGCACATGGAAGAAGCGGATACTGCAGAAAAAATAGGGGAACAAATTGACTCTATCAACAATCAAAAGGAGGGCAGAATAAGGGGGTTATCTTCCCAAAATGGACAGACTCCTAATCAGGGTAAAATGGAATGTGTGGAACATATGCACGAAAATATCAGGATGTGGAACGAGGATGACATGGGAATTTCAAATACCCGTGGGGGAACTACCGGGCCAATGGAGCATGTCAAGATCTCGAGGCCTGAGGGGAGGGTCACGACACTATATACAAGCTTGGCTAGCAGTAAAAATAAGTTAGACGGTCTACAGGCTGAGGTAACTACAAAGAATATTCGTGCAAGGGGGTGGGACGATCTATCACTTCAACAATTAAAATTTTTAGTAATGATTTTATTATTACCGTGAGCTATTTTATCATAAATATTAGATTTTTGTGACGAAATTTTCTTATAAAACTATTGTAATAATTAATTATGATGTATTGTTATTTAATTATTAATATAATAGTAATTGTGACAATTTAAATTTTTTTATAATTAAATTGTGACTATAAGTATGGTCTTTTGACAAAATTATTTGTCACTATAGAATCGTCTTTAATAAGTGCACAGATTTGTGGCAAGTGATTTGTTATGCAAAGTAATGTACTGATGATGACATATAAAGTGATTACTACTATTAGACATTATTGTGAGGAAAAAATAATTTGTTACGTAATACTTTACTTTTTGTCTTAAAAATTTTTGTCATCATTAAACATAACATATTACTATTGACTATATGTCATCACAATCACAAATTTATTAGTGACAATTGAAATCATCACTATTGAAAATATTATAATGACTAGAAATTTATTTGTAACAATATTTCTTGAAAAATTATATTGACAAATTTAAGATATTAATTTTTTATTGCAATAACAATTTGTGTATTATTAAATTTATTTTTTATTGAAATAACAATTGTAAATTTTTTTTTAATTATAAATGTAAATATATTTGAACTACTTATATATTCAATATAAAAATAAAGATTTATAATCAATAAAAAAAATTTATAATTAATAAAAATTTTTGTACTTAAACAAAAGTCTCAAACTAAAACAACTTGGAAAAATCCTCACAACCAGGATATAGTTGTTTTTCTACTTCTTACAATAATCTATAAAACTTAGTAGCTTCCTTATTTGGGGTAGTGAAATTAACTCTGGTAGATTCTTTGGCTTCCTTATTAAAAGCATTGTGGCTAACTCTAATAGGTTCATCATCACTTATTTGAGCATTAATTTGTTAAGCAAAATTGGCATTAGCACGTCCAAAATCACACACCATATCATACATGCCATCATCATCACTTTCATTGCTCTCATAAACAATCTCATTAGTGTTAT